TACGTATACTTGCGTTGATAAGTGTGACTTTACAATTAGTGAATATTTAATACGTCCATATTTATCTTATATTTTATTGCATATATAAAGTCGCTGTCATTTATTGATGTCAAAACAATTTCATGACGCTTATGCTTTAATTGAAGAAATGGCTACCAATAGTTTTTAATGGCTTTCTAAGAGGGTGAATCCAAATAAAGTAGCCAATATTCATGAATCTGATGCATTTACTATGTTCGCAAATCAAGTTATTGCAATTTCAAGGAAGTTAGACCAATTTGGAATGAATTTTTCTCAACCTATCTCTATGATTGAAGAGAATTCATTAGGTCAAATGGTAGATTCACAAGCATCATTTGAAGCTTTGATTGTCATAAATAATAAGCATAATAATCCATATTCAAATTATTATAACCCAGGTTGAAAGAACCATCCCAACTTCTTTTGGAATAATACTACGGGTGGTGACAATCAGCAATGGGGTACAATCAAGTAAACCCATTGGAAAACTAAAACAACCAAGAGAATAATAATTATAGATCTACTTATCCTCCAGGTTTCAATAGTAATCCACAACTTAAGGAGAAGAAGTTGTTTACAGAAGAAGTGGTGTTACAAATGAGAAATCGGTTACAAAGTCAAGGAGCTACAATTATAAATATTGAGAATCAACTTAAATAAATTGCAAATTTATTAAGTAATAGATTCCAAGGAACACTTCATAGTAATACTGAAATAAATCTAAAAGACCAGAATAGAGAGCAAGTTAAAGCTGCTAAACTTAGAAGTGGAAGAGAGTTGGAAGGTAAGGTTCAAAAAGAAATTGAAGTAGAGAGAGCAGAAATCGAAGAATCAAAAGAAGACACTCCAAAAGATTCTGAAAGACCTATTTCTCCGCGGGAAATTGATTTGGAAAAACCACAACCTCTATTTCCTTAGAGACTTTGTCAACAGAAATTGGATAAGCAATTTTCAAATTTTCTGGAAATTTTTAAGAAGCTTACAATTAATATTCCATTTGTTGAAGAATTAGAAAAAATGTCAAGCTATGTAAACTTTATGAAGGATATTCTCAAGAGGAAAAGGAAGTTTTAAGATAATGAGACTGTTGCACTTAGTGAGGAGTGTAGTGCAATAATTCAAAAAATGCTTTCTGAAAAGCTTAAAGAATCTGGTAGCTTTACAATTCCATGTTTGATAGGAGAAAGATTTTATGGGAAAGCTTTATGTGATTTAGGTGCAAGCATTAACCTTATGTCTTTATCAATATTTAACAGATTGAGATTAGGAGAAATAATCCCTACTATTGTAACTCTGCAACTCTGCAGTTAGCAGATTATTTAATAACGTACCCTACAGGAGTTATAGAAGATATCATAGTGAAAGTGGATCAATTCATCTTTCCTGTTGAATTCATTGTGCTGAATATGGAGGAAGATAAAGAGATACCTATCATTTTGGGGAGACCTTTCCTAGTCACAGGAAGAGCAATGATAAATGTGAAGACAGAGAAATTAACAATGCGTGTCAATGATCAAACTATTACTTTTAACATTTCAAGATCAACAAAGTATCTTACAAAAGGTAAAGATAATGAATGTTATAGAATAGTTGTTATAAGATATCTGAGTGAATGTCATTTCAAAACTAATTATGAAGAAAAATCTGATGTAAGAGATTTGGAACACGAGCAAGAAGAAGAATTAGATCAACATGAATATTTTTTTAAAGAGTTTTTATGAAGGAACTAAGAGAAAATTTTGGGGATAAGGCCATCAATTTGGTGAAATTTGGGGATATGACCAATTTGGGCCGGTCAATTTGGGGTAAATTTGGGGCTTTTTGGACCTAGGTTAAAATCAAATGAAATTGAGGTCTCAACAAGGCCCATTGAAGGTCAAGGTTGATGTATAGGAATGTTATGAAGAGTTTACAACATAAATTATGACAAGTTGAGTAGGCCATAGGTTCAATTTGGTTGAACCAAGTCATAGGGCCAAAATTGAGGGATTAGTTTAAGCCAAAATTGGGCTCATGTCATTGGCCAAATGAGCTTGGATTTAATTTATATTGATCATATGAAGGGTAAGTTGGAGTTTATAATTGAAATTGGGGGAAATTGGGACCAAATTGATGGACATTTGAAGTGAATTTGGGGAAAGTTAGGCTTTTAAGGGTAGCCAAATTGATGGACATTTGAAGTGAATTTGAGGAAAGTTAGGCTTTTAAGGGTAGTTTGGGGGCTTTGTTCAAAGATGGTCAAATTGGCCAAATTAGACCATGTGTTAGTTGAGAAAAATGAAATTGGGAATATTTGAAAGATTTTGGGAATTTTTGGGATTTTTTAGAATTTTTAGAATTTTGGGCTAAGGAGGGGCATTTTGGTAATTTGTCAATTTTTTGTTGATTTTGGGTAATTTGGGTGTTTTCAAGATGTTTGAAATGATTTTTTAACAAATTTGAGTATTTTGGCTAAATTTGGGAATTTTGGCCAAATTTTGGGTTTAAAGGATATCTAGGTAATTTGGGGGAGTTTAGGGGCAAAAGGCTAGGTTGGGCATTTTGGTAGGTTGGGGTGCCAACCATCATTAATAAGCCATGGACCAATGGAAATCCCATTTTGGGTCTTCTATGTATTGGTCTTAGCTTAACTCTAGCCTAGGGCCAGTGAGTTTAGGGGAGCATCTGCATAAGTATCTCAAAAGTATCAAGGGACCAAAGTCAAGAGATTTAGGCTTATGGTTGTGAGTGATTGTGCGCGAGAGTAAGTGTCAGTGAGTGCCTTAGCCCTAGACCAACATCCAGAGTCAACATTAAGGTCAAACAGTCTTATGGGAAATCGTCTTGAGCTCCCCCATAGTAACCCCACCAACTAAGTGTTAGAGGTTATGACCAATATGTGGAACTTCAAGTTGAGCAAAAATAAGTTTAGAATTTCTAATGGTGAGGGTTTCTTTTCTAGTTTTCTAAGAATAATCAACAGGAAATTATTGTAACTAGACCCTAGGCTACAAAAGAGGAAAGTGAGGTCAACACTTCTTTGCTCTGCCTAAGAGGATCAAAAAACAAAACACATTATTCATGTCTAGAAACCCCATCTATTTTCTTCCTCAACCTCCTCATACAAGTCTCTCCTAAGTTGTATGAACTCACGATAACATAACACCCGACATCCTGAAAGGATTTGATAGTACTAAGATGTATTTTCATTGAAATAAGAAAATAAAAAAGAATTACATTAAATAAAAATGTGTGCTGATATTAAGTTATGATTTATTACAATGAAATAAATTCTAATTAATCTATTTTTTGTGAATGATATAACATATATCAAATATGGCTTATCACCGAGATTTTTAATTGCTTGTTTAATAATAAATAACTTTGTTGGAGAACACAAACTTTTTGAATTATGTTTAAGTTTGGTTAGTTTATTTTTCAAGAAATTAAAAAATGATCAAATTTAATTATTTATTAATTTGGAAAAACCTCACAAGTTTTAATGAAGCTGAGTTTTAAGTTGTTGATTGAGAGAATTACAACCATAAATATATTACACTTGAAATAAATGGAATAAACTAAATATGGGGAGCTTCTTAGAGAAATTTTAAAAATTTCTGGAGATGTTTAATCTGTAATTATTTCATAAATATTTTGAATGTAACCACGCCATTAGTAATCATAAAATCTCAAGAGATTTTTTGTCTCTCTCCCTTCCTCCCTCTCTCTCTTTCTCCCTCTAGTTCTTCCTTCCATGCAAAACTCATTCTTTGTATCCACAAACATTTGAAAATACATATGTATATATATATATATATTATTGTGAGATATGTACTTCCTGACATAGAAATGAAACGCAAAGAGCACAAGCAAACACAGATCGTTTACGTTGTTCGATCCAACTGGATCTACGTCCACGGGAGGGAATCAATCAATTAGTTCACTAAGACAAAATAAATGGAGAATACATAGCTTATACGCTCTCATCTTCCTTCTATGGCCTCCCTCTCAAGTGACACCTTGATACAAGGCCTCAAGATGCTCTCCTCCTCTCTAGCTCTCTAACTATTCTCTCCTCCTTTGTGGTAGCTTAAGATCTCTTCCCTTACTCTTCTAAGCCTCAGACCCTGTCTATTTATAGAAGCAAGAGAGTGGTAGGTGGGAGGTAGGTGAGAGATATGTGAGATGTGGTAGATGAGCGGTACCACATTATAAAAGTGCACTTTTACCTTAGTTCAATAATTGAGAGTCAAAATAATATATATATATATATATGCATGATAATTGGGGCTTATGAGATCGGAATTTATCTGTTATCGCTCCACAGAATAATAAGATTATTTCAGATGTGTGGTTGGATGGAAAATGGGATGTTAATAAATTAGTGTCTCTTGTTGGGGATAAAACTGCATTTGTCACCAAGATCCCGATAAGGAAGGATGTTAAAGATACCCCAATATGGAAAACTTCTTCTAATATTTCTCCTTCAAAATTGCTTTACTCAAATCTTTATTTTTATGACAAGTGGCGGTGAGGGAATTTCATTTGGAACAATTTTCTTACCCCCTCCATCTCTTTTTTTCTATGGAGACTTTTTCTAAATATGATATCTTTTAATGATATTCTTAAACTTAAAGGGCTGAAATTTGCTTCAAGATGTCATTCATGTAAAAATGAAGTGGAATCGACAGTGCATCTTTTTTTCTATTGTTCTCATGCTAAAGAGATTTGGTATGTGTTGGGGGAAAAATTTTCATATTGATTGGTTTGATTGTGTAGATATATGAAGCTACCTCCAGAAGTGGAGGAATGCTGAAATTATGGACCCTAAATTAGCTAGTTTACCTTTGTTGGTGATGTGGTTTATTTGGGTGGCAATAAATGATCAAAAGTATCAAAATTTGGGTTTAGCTCCTATCAATATGGTGTCATACATTTTAGCTTATATTTTCCAGGCTTCCCGTATTTTGGGCTTGAATGCCAAATCAAATAAACCTACGATGGGTAGGATGTCTATTCTCGTTAGATGGCAACCCCCTCCTATGGGTCATATCAAAGTGAATATTGATGGAAGTTGGGCTTCCAAGGCGGCTGGAGCTGGTGGAAATTTTAGAGATTATTTGGGCATTTGCCGGGGTTACTTTGCTTCTCCGATTGTAGCCTCCTCCCCTTTAGAAGCTGAATGTTGGGCTTTTTTATTGGCCTTAAAGGTGGCTATTTCTTTTAACTTCTTAAAGCTTATTGTTGAGACTAATTCAATTAACCTCTTTAAGGAATTTGATATAATTACAATACCCAAATGGATTGTTGTGGGTATTTGGAATAGAATAAGAGCGATTATAGAAAAGTATAATTTTTCCATACACTTGGCTCATGTTTTTCGAGAAGGTAATTCCCCGGCGGATTGGTTGGCTGAGAAAGATAAAATTGAGGAAAGAATATTGATAGGTGTCTTACCAGAGTCTCAGCTAAAATGATTATTGTTGGGAGATTCTATGGAATTGCCTTTTATTAGGCCTTGATTTTATGCTTTACCATCTCTTTAAAGTTTGAAGGTGTTCACTGGGTTATGGTAACTGCAGTGTTTTTAGTTTTGATTTTATGGAATTACGAGATTTTAGCTCGGTTTCTTTATACATCATAGCATATTACTTGCGGAAAAGGTTTTTATTTCTTGTTTCTGACATGTTTACTGGAAGGATAATCATGAGCAAATTGTTTGAATTATTTGCTATGGTTTTTTTACTGCTTTCGATTAATTAAGATGAATTTGAATATGGGGAAGAATTCTTAATGCCAAATACCATATGCGGTAGATGTTAGAAGGATTTGATGATTTTCCTCTGAAAAAGGCGTGGGTTCAGGGGAGCAAAAGTTGCGGATTATTAAGCAGGTGTTTTGTATTTTTTCGAAAATCTGGAATCTGGAATGGATTTTGGCCTTATACGCATATTAAATATTATGGGTATTATGAGCAGATTTTGAATGGTATCTTATGATGCGTGGGATGCTAATTTATTTGGAATGTCAAAACCTGGAGTTTGGTTTTTCCATATATTTTTGCGTTAGATAGTAACAGTGAAATGAGGACTAAGGAAGCAAGTGGCTGCGAGTAATGATGGGCATTATGGTTTCAAGTTGTTTGGCTTTCCCTCTTCAATGTTCCAGCAGGGAATGTTTAATAAAGAGGAGTTATGTAATGCTCTTTCAATTATTTTATATACTTTGGAGGCTATGTGATTTGATCGCAGTTTCGAAGATTTGTTTTTATTTTGATGTTACTCATGATGGCTCGTAGCTTCGAGGGAGTTTCTATGGGGTTTTCGACTTCATACTACTACTGCAACTCGGCTTATTTGACTGTTATCAGTTGTTACAAGCTGGATCAATTATTGTATCTTTTATGTTTCTTTAGAATTAATTCTTTTGGTTGAAGTATACTTGTATATGCTCGGTTATATACCGAATATAGTTTTGAGTTGAGTTGGTATATTGTCTAAACTCATTTTGGGTTAGAGTTGTATGTGATTGAGGATTCCTTTTATCGAGTGTGTATTGTAGTTCTTTTATTTTCTAGTTGGGAACCCTTTTCCAGACAAATATGTATCAACTTTATTTATTTAACGCGTAGGGAGACGTATAATGCTCCTTCAACAAAAAAATAAATAAATAAATAAATAAATAAATAAATAAATATATATATATATATATATATATCATGTCCTCTCGTTGCGCTTTGTAAGAGCATTCTTATAGATCCATTATGTTATGCAGCAAAAATGTTTTAGAATTTTAAACTGATTAAAATTAATTTTAAAAATAATGGTTAAATTTAACAAAGGTGATTAAGCTCTTTAATGTGCATTGTACTCATTTATGAGACATCCTACATTATTTCCTAAAGATCACAACCTGTTTGCTCATTAATGCTTTTGGAAAAAAATTGTTAATGTGGCGCTACTGTTTTTTAATGAAATCCTCTTATTCATGCAACATTTTGGGCTGCCTTATTTCTTTCGGAGAACAGTAAGGTTGAAGATTTAATGAAAAGCTTTCGCTTGTCATCATTTCTTAACAACAACCTGATCAAAGTACGCGGCACACACACACAGATACATAAATATTTATGTTTGTTGCATAACATAAAGTGCTACATTAAAAGCCTATAAACTTTTTGAGTGTGATAGATTGCCAAAAATAAAAATAAAAGTAGGGAGTTCACTATTTTGAAAATAGTTTTAGTTTGAAATAGAATGCACATTTAAATTAATGAGAAAATGTTTGGATTAATTATTATAGTATAAATCTTAAATTTAAATTAATTCATAATCAGCCAAATAAATTAGTTCATTAATAGTGATTAGTGAAATCTATTTCTGAATTTGCAATGAATGAAATTTATATTTGTTAGTTCATCTTCCTAATGTTAATAGGGTTGTCACAACGGCTCTTTGTTCACGAACAGCTTGTGTTCGACTCGTTAATTTTGTTCAATAAGTTAATGAGCTGAACACGAACTAAGATGTGTTCGTTCGTGATCGGCTCGTTTTGGCTTGAAATACTAGTCATCAAGTTTGTATACGAGCTGAGCCTTGAAATACTAGTCATCAAGTTTGTATACGAGCTGAACACGAGCTGAGCAGAGCTGAGCCTGACTCGCTCATGTTCGACTCGTTTACACCCCTAAATGTTAATCATAAGAACATGTTTTGTTCTAGTGTTCTAAATATATAAATGTTAACTATTCATATTTTTAGTTAAACGTCTTCTTCATCTGGATACGAAAGAAACAATAGTGTTTTTTAGCAAACTCATACATAACAAAAAAAATCATTTACCGTATCAAAAACTAAATGATCTAGCAAATGTTCGATACAATCCTACTTTGAAGAATATGTATGCTTGTTAATTTATATTATATATATATATATTTTGTGTCATATTGCTTTTAACTATATTCTTCGTTTGTTAAATAATAAGATAAAATTCTTTCTTGTTTGTTCGTTTTATGTGAAGTCCACTTTGTCATATCACATTTCGGCTCAGTTTATTTTTTCCTAAAAAAGAAGTGCATAATATCAATAACGAGTTATAATCCAAAAAGATAAACAAAAAAATAATATGAATGAATGGGTTAAGTAAAACTTCCTTTGTTAAAAGAGAATTATTAGTATAAAAATTAAATTAGAATTACTCTTTTCTTACACAACTTAAACATGCGGCCCTAGATTTAAAGGAAAAAAAAACGTGCCATCATTTCTAATTAATATAGCATGGACTTCAACATGGAATAACTTAAATGAAAATATATGAATTAGCAATCAATATAAAATCACAAAAATATAATACTAGTCAGCATGATCATTAAAATAAAATGTCCCTGTTAAAAATAAAATAAAATCGAAGAAAGAATGGAATCTCAATTAAAATCAATGTAATAAATGTAAAATCTTCGTGTCAAAGTATTATTGAAAAATACCTTCTTTGGTGGAACAATAGCTAAATCATTTTTAACTGTAATCTTTGTCTTGAGTTTAGAATTTATCTTTTCTATAATTCCATTTTTATAACCATTCACTTGACTTGGAGATAATTGAGGTTTCGCAAGTCCTATAACCTCCAAAAACATAAAATTTATATGTACCCCACGCTACAATAAATTTCACAAAACTATATATCAAATCCCCCGTGGACTAACAATGATCATAATACTATAAATTATATTATCCAGTAGATCAACCTTCTAATATGGGATTTTAAAAAGTTGATTAAAAGCTTCTCATTAATATTTCAAATTTCTCTCAAACAAATGATGTGAATGTTTGAAAACTAGCTCATATATTTAATATTAAAATATTTTTTAAAAATTTGGAAAATTTTTTCTCAGTGACAAATAAAATAACCAATATTACAAATGAAATGTTAAAATACTTATCTGATAATGAAGCTCGATTGAATTTATTTATTACGACAGAGTTGATGATTAAAATTGGATGATGATGCCATTAAAAAGTTCATGAGATTTCTGCTTTAACAAAGACACCAATAAATTACCAATGAAAATAAAGTAAATTTCATGACATTTTATTTTATTTTATTTGTTGATTTTAATAAAGTAAATTAGAGAAAATGTCATCATTTGTATGATTATTTTGTAAAGATTAATTCTTCGGCGGTTTGTGTATAATTATCCCTAGTTAAACGGGAAAGCAAATTACCCGGGCCATTAACGTCGACTTACTTCTTGCCAACTAATTAACATGAATTAGAAATTTTCAAAAGGACAATAAATAATTTTATAATCAATAAATGATGGAAGCAAAGGAATAATAACCCGTTATATATATATATATATATAATATTATAGAGGCGTCAGCTATTTAAATAAAAAATTACGCCCACACTAGCAAGTTACTGTAAATATATAAATGTTGGTTGGATCTTGGTCGTCATCGGCGAAGGCCCAAGTTTAATTCCTAGCCATGACTTGCGAAAGCAACTAACCCTACCATAAGAGTCCTACGGATTCACATGCAATATATATATATATATATATATATATATAAAAGCTGTGTTGGCATTTATTGCATCATCGTAAAGCTCACTCTCACAAACATCTTATATATTAGTATTTATTCTTGAAATTATACAAATAGAATATATCACAAGAAATTTGTGATCAAAATCTTGTTGTGATTCTTACTCTGTATCTTCAAAAAAAAAATAAAAAAAAAATAAAAAAGAATATATCTAAATTTATGTACAGCAAAATTATATACTACTTAGTCACATTAATTTTTTTTTTGATGTTATGCCTAAAATGTTGAACATCTAATAGCATGAGTTAGAGTGCAATGACTAATATTGCAGCTTGCAATAGTTACATCGCATGTACATCTAATCAGTTTATAATATGAACATAAATCTCTATGGAAGAGATTTTTTGTGAACAAGTCGGCTATTTTAATGGATTTGCAAAGTATCTAAACATTTGACCCATTTGATTGAGAACAAATGAGCACCATGAACTCTTTATGCGTATGATTGAAATCATCAATATAAATTGAAGCTTCCACCTATGAACAAAAAAGAAAAAATAAGATTGTAACCAAGTCAACAAGTTAATAAGTTTATCAAACTCTATAAATATTTATAATCAACATATAAATTAGTCTTCATCATCACATTAAATTTAATGAAATGTTAATAATAAAGCTAAAAAAAATTTGGAAGAATTAAAGCTCTAAAAACATAGTTTCAAGTAATTAAAAAAAATATATTATAAAAGTACTGTAAGAAGCGGAAATGAATTACCTTCTCTAGTTCGAGTCGAGCTGCCTCCCTTTCTTTTTCAATCTTCATTTTATGTTCAAGATCTACTTTATCGATATCTAGTTTAGCAGTTTCAGTTCGAACTGCTATTTTTCTTTTTTCTGTAAAAATTATGGCACTTTTGTAAGTTGATCATATACAATAAATAGAAGAAATTTAAAATAAGTCACATATTTTAAGAAATATCATATGATTTAAAAAAAAGAATAAATTACTTTTACCAAGAGTAGAAAAGTCAAAGATCCATAAATTAAGAAGAAAATCGAATCAATTACTTAAATAGTTGCTTTACTCATGTTTTTGCATGTTGTAATTGATGTGCTACAATGTAACTTTTCAAACCGTAATGACACTTTTTCATTATCTCATCCAAACCAATGAATAAAATAGTAAAGTTTGTTCAACAAAATAAATAACTTGATAATAATTACTATGCAAAATATTGACTAAATTCAACAAAATTAGTCATGGTCTTAAACATATATTATGCTCATCTAAGAGACATTACAATAAAATTGCAACTTATTAGCTTACGAATGCTCGTAAAATATGTTAAAATATATAAAATTCTTACTTGTTTGTTCTTTTTCTGTGAAATCCTCTTTTTCATATTGCATTTCAGCTCGATTTATTTTTTCCTGAAAAATAAGTGCATAATATCAATCATGAGTTCTAATCCAAAAAGATAGAAGGAAAAATAATATGAATTAATGGGTTAGATAAAACTTGCTTTGTTAAAAGAGAATTATTAGTATAAAAAGTAAATTAGAATTACTTTCTATTTACACAACCTACTTGTGATGTAAGTATCTAAAACATGAGGCACTAGATTTAACAAAAAAAAAAAAATTCATCATTTCTACTTAAGAAAGCATGGACTACAACACTGAATAATGACACTAAATAATGTAAATGAAAAATATATCTATTAGCAATCAATATAAAATCACAAAAAATATAGTGATAGTCAACATGGTCAATAAAACACTATGTTGTTGCTAAAAATAAAATAAAATCAAAGAAACAAAGAAATTTCAATTAGAAACAATACAATGAATGCAAAAACTTCTTGTCAAGTATTTTTGAAAAATACCTTCTCTGGTGGAACAATAGCTGAATCATTTTTAAGTGTAATATTTGCCTTGAGTTTAGAATTTGTCTTTTCTATAATTCCATTTTTATAACCATTCACTTGACTTTCAAATCTTCGTTTTTCTGCACAAAGTAGAATGTTTGTTACAATAAAACCGATCAAGAATATAAATATGTAACAGAAAATTAGTGTGAAGTTAAAGAGTTATTTTACTGATTTCTGGCTTTCCAATAAAACCTTTTTTTGGTTCCATCCTAGCTTCACCTTTTCTTTCTCTCTGAGCAACAAACACATAATTTCAATTATATGCTCAGTATATTGATTTAATAACTTTTTTTCAGAAAAAAAATATTAAATTGGATTTGTTTTTATAAAGAAATTACATGTCAAACATTAATATGCTAACCTTTATGTTAAGCGTTTCTTGTGCCTTGAAAATTATATCAGCAAATCGGTTCTTCAACATAGCAACACGAAAAGCTTTTCTTGGAGATAATTGAGGCTCCCCAAGTCCTGTAACATCCAAAAACATAAAATTTATATGTACTCCGAGCTACAATAAATTTCACAAAACTATATATCAAATCCGTCATGGACTAACAATGACTATAAACTATATCATCCAGTAGATCAGCCTTTTTCAAATATGAGATTTTAAGAAATAAATTCAAAATTTCTCATTAATATTTAAATTTTTTTGTGAAACAAATGATGTGTAAATGTTTGAAAGCTAGTTGAAATATTTAGTATTAAAATATTTTGAAAAATTTAATAAAATTTTTTGTCTTAGTGACAATTAAAATTACCATATTAACTAAAGAATAATGTAGAAAATTGTTAAAAAATTTACCTGATAATGAAGCTCGATTGAATGTATTTCTACGACAGAGTTGATTATAATTGCAAGATGATGTCATCAAAGAAGCCATGAGTTTTCTGCATTAACCGAAGCATCAATAAATTAACAGTGAGAATAAAGTAGAATAGTATGACATTTTATTTTAATTTAATTTTTGTTTTTAAAAATTTAATAATTTATTGAGAAAATGTATAGCAAAAAAAAAAAAAAAAAAACTATTCATGGAATTCAATATCAACTATTAAATTCCGGAAAATAATAAAAAAAGAGAGAAACCTAAAATACAATCTAATTCTATGACTTGTTTAAATTAAAAATGACGTCCCCTAGCTAGTTAAAGCATAACAAAATAAATTAAAACTTAAAACGGGAAACCAATTTCTTACTTTCAGATTAGATTAGTGAGATATATAGAGAGAGAGGGAGAGAGAGACGACGTAAACTGTAGGGAGAGACGGCAAGAGGCATGAGGAAAAAAAAAAGATTTACATGAGTGAATATATTATATTAAGATATATTATGGGATTCAAAATGTGAGATTATAACGAAGAATAAGACCGTTTTTTACAAATTGATTTTTTCTTCATTCTTTGAGATGAAATAGTAAAAGTGGGGAGAACCACCACTTTTCTATTTATAGTAAGTAACTAATATAAATTCGTGCAGTATTTTTTTAGGTCATCTGAGCAGTAGAAATTATCTCTATGATTAATTAATGATATTTAATTTAACCAAATGTTAGTGAATTCAGATTAATTAGTAATAAAATAACAAAATGCTGGTTATTTTCTCAGAAATTAATAAACTTGAGGCATTCCAAATAACAAATAGGAAATGGTTTGTATTTATTTCCTTTTTTTTTTGTGCATTCCAAATAACAAATAGGAAATGGTTTGTATTTAGATCATTTTTTCCTTTTTTTTTTTTGTTTCCAATTAAAATTTTGCGAGAAAAGCTCTTCGAATTCAATTTCAGGGACTAAATTCCGGCAAATAAAAAAAAATGATAAACCTAAAAGTTTTATCTATTAAAATAAAAAATGAGGTCCAACCTAGTTAATTAAAGCACATTCAAGGAGAAATATAAAGCTTAAAACAGAAAAAAAAATTATTTACGTTTTGATTAGATTAGTGATAAAGAGAGAGAGAGAGAGAATTTATATTCTGTTATTTTAAAGAAAAGTAATTAGCAGAGACTAATTCCAACAAAATTATGTCCAAATATCCAGATCCAACTTTTCTTAGAAAAAAAATGGAGAAATTATTTTCTTATGTAAGAAATATAAAAACTAAAATCGGAAAAGAGTATAAAAATGCAGGAAAAAAGGGAAATAAAAAGCGGTGAAGAAAAAGAAAGAAAAATCCAAATAGATCTGGAAAAAAAAAATTAGGGTTCGAATCAAAGCCAGTGCTTAAAACTTGTTGAATGCAGATGATGAAATTTTGTTTGCAAAGAACAAATGGTTGAGGGAGAGAGAGAGAGACGGCGAAAGAAAGCAGAATAAAAATTGTTCTACAGGAGAATAAGAGCAGAGGAGAAATAAGACCGTTTTTTTCAAATTGATTTTTTCTCTATTCTTTGAGTTGAAATAGTAAAAGTGGGGAAAGCCAACACTTTTCTATTTATGGTAAGTTAGTAATATAAACTCGTGCAGCATTTTTTTAGGTAATCTGAGTAGTAGAAATTATTTATATGATTGATTAATGATATTTAATTTAGCCAAATGTTAGTGAATTCAGATTAATTAGTAATAAAATAACAAAATGTTAGTTTTTTTCTCAGAAATTAATAAACTTGAGACATTCCAAATAATAAATAGGAAATGGTTCGTATTTAGATATTTTTTTCTTTTTTTGGTTTCCAATTAAAATTTTGTGAGAAAAGCTCTTTGAATTCAATTTCAGGGAGTAAATTCCTGCAAATAATAAAAAAACAAAAGATAAAACGAAAATGTATCATAAACTTGTCACGTATTTAAATAAAAAATGAGGTCCACCCTAGCAAATTCAAGCATTGTCAAGGAAGAAAAATAAAACCTAAAACAGGAAATAAATTATTTACGTTCGGATTAGATTAGAGATAAATAGAGAGAGAGAGAGAGAGAGAGAGAGAGAGAGAGAGAAAATTTATATTCTGTTATTTTAAAGAAAAATAATTAGCAGAGCTAAATTCAACTAAAATTATGTCCAACTATTCAGATCCAACTTTTCTTAGAATAAAATGGAGAAATTGTTTGCTAAGAAGTCGGATTTTATGTATGAAATATAAAAAATAAAATCGGAAAAGAGAATAAAAATGCAGGAATATATTCTGTTATTTTAAAGAAAAATAATTAGCAGATAATAATTCCAACAAATATTATGTCCCAAATTTTCTTAGAAAAAAATGGAGAAATTGTTTTCTTATGTAAGAAATATAAAAACTAAAATCGGAAAATAGTATAAAAATGCAGGAGAAAATGGAAATAAAAAACGATGAAGAAATAATGAAGATTTTGTTTCCAAATAGATCTGTAAAAAAAAAAATTAGGGTTCGAATCAAAGCCAGTGCTTAAACTTGTTGAATGCAGAAAATGAAAATTTTGTTTGCAAAGAACAAAAAAATGAGGTCATTGTAGGGAGAGACGGCGAGAGGAAGCCGAAGAAAAATTATTCTACAGGAGAATGAATAAATGATGTGACTCATAATCTGGGATCAAGTAGTATTACTTGTTTATGATAATGGAGAAGGAATGAGCGTGGAAGAGAGAGTGGCCTTCGATGCCTGAGATCGAGATCGATCGCCGGCGAAGGTGAGCCCGCGGGAAAGTGCTTTGCAGAAAATAAGAACGTTTTTTTTTCAAATGTGTTTTAGTCTCCCCTCTTTTGTGTTTTAAATAGATAAAGGCGGGCCAAAGCAGCTCTCTAATTTACTTTTCAGCCACCACTTTTTTATTTATGGTAACTAAATAATATAATTCCAGCACGTTTTTTAATTTTATTATTATTATTATTATTATTATTATTTTGAGGCAATCTGAGCAGTTAAATTTATGTATATGATTGATGATATTTAATTGGGCCAAATGTTAGTCCATTTTTTATTTATCAAATTTATATATCATACAGAAGATCAATTCTTATATGCGTAGGGTAATAATAAATAATATTATTTTTTTACAAAATTATTACCCATCAATTTGAAATGATTTCTAAGATTCATGTATTTATGAGTTAATAGTAAAATAAAAAAAAAATATTTTAGAAATTTCTCAAAATTTGGGTAATAATAAATATATAGATGCCACATAGAAATTTATTCCTAAATTTTATCGTCGAGTAATACTGAGCAAAAGCCAAGAAAGTATGAAAGAAATATTTTAGCTACACCTAAAATTCTCTAATGTTTGGACAATAATATAGAAGATTTATTCCACTGCTGCTTTTTTATGAAATCCTCTTATTCATGCAGCATTTTGGGCTGCCTTATTTCGTTTGGAGAACACTAAGGTTGCAGATTTAACTAAAATGATTTAGCTTGCCGACAATATATATATATATATCATTGTAAAATCCTACATTCAAACTTTCTGAAACATATTCAAAAGAATAGTGCTCCCTCTCATAAACTTCTTAAAGGATAGTTTCCATTCTTGAAATAATAGAGATATCAAGCCAAATTTAGCCATTTCCAAGGGATGAAAAATCACAAGAAATTTGTGAGCAAAATTTCACTAAATTTCTTATCTTCAGAAAAAAAAAACAAAAACAAAAGATATAACAAGATTTATGTACATAAAAAATATATGAACTTTAATATATAAAAATTAATCACATTATTAATTTTTTACATTAGGCCTAAAATGTTACACATCTCATTGTATGAATTAGAGTGCAATGACTCAGTACTTTTGTGAACAACTCGGCCATTCCAATGGATTTGCAAAGTTTCTAAGTATTTGACATCGTTTGATTGAGAAGGAATGAGTGCCACAAAGTCTTTGTATGTATGATTGAAATGATCAATATAAACTGAAACTTCCACATATGAATAAAAAAGAAATAAAATATATTGTGACCAATCAAATAATAAAAAAAAAAGTATATCATAATCTATAAAATTTAAACACTAATGTAGCATTTGTTAAATGTAAATTCTTAATAGCTTTGCAGATTCCTAAGCATTGTAATTATTCAAGTTTGTTTCATAACATTAAGTTCTACATTAAAAGCCTATAAAATTTTAGAGTTTGATAAATTGCAACAAAAATAGAAACAGGGAGTTGACAATTTTGAAATTAGTTTTAGTTTGAATTAAAATGCGCATTTCAATTAATGACAAAAAGTTTGGATTAATTATTAAAGTATAAGCCTTAAATCTAATTTAATTCAGATGTAATATTGTTTCTTTTTAATATTTATATCAGCCTCATAAATTAGTCATCATCCTGACATTAAATATTTAATAAAATGTTAATAATAAAGCTGAAATAAATTCGGAAGAATTAAGGATCTAAAAAATAATAATTTTAAGGAATAAAAAAATATTATAAAAGTTGAGTTTGTTCCCTTTCCTTTTCAAGCTTCCTTTTATGTTCAAGTTTTGTTTTATCTATAACAAGTCCAACAATTTTAATTCGAACTACTATTTTTTTTTTTTTTGCAAGAATTAGTGGACTTTATAAGTCAATCGTACAAAACCAATAGAATAAATTTAAAATAATTCACATATTTTAGGAAATATGAAATGATTTAAACCTAAAAGAATATGCTACTTGCGCAGAAAGAAAGAAAGCTAAATGTCCATAAATTAGGAACAAAATTAAATCAATTACTTAAATAGTTGCTTTGCTATTGTTTTAGCATGTTGTAAGTGGTTTGCTATAATGTAACTTTAGAATCATAATGACACTTTATTCATAGTCTCACCCAAATCAATGAATAAAATAGCTAATATTGTTCAACAAAATAAATAAACTGATAAAAATTAATATGCAAGTTATTGACTAAGTTTAACAAAATTAGTTTTGCTCTTAAACATACATTATGCTCATCTAAGAGACATAATACAATAATTCATTAGAATTGCAACTTATTTGCTTACGAATGCTTAGAGAAAAATATTAAAATATATAAAATTCTTACTTGTTTGTTCATTTTATGTGGATTCCTCTTTTTATATTGTATTTTGGCCCGATTTGTTTCTTCCTGAAAATAAATGCATAATATCTATCATGTGTTCTAATCCAAAAAAATAAAAGGAAAAATAACATGAGTTAATGTGTTGAATCTTTTGTTAAAAGAGAAGTATTAGTATAAAAATTAACTTAGAATTATTTTTTCCTTACACAACCTTCTTGTGATGTAAATACCTAAAACATGATGCCCTAGATTTAACAAAAAACAAAAATAAATAAATAATTTGCATCATTTCTAATTAATAAAATATGGACTACAACACTGAATAATTTAAATGAAATATGTATTAGTAATCAATATAGAATCTCAAAAATACAGTGCTAGTCTATATGTCCAATAAAACAAAATGTTGCTGCTAAAAATAAAATAAAATCAAAGGAAGAACGAAATCTTACTTAGAATCAATGTAATGAATATCAAAGCTTTTTGTCAAAGTAATATTGAAAAATATCTTCTTTGCTGAAGCAATAGTTGAATCATTTGAAATTGTAATATTTGTCTTGAGTTTAGAATTTATCTTATCTATAATTCTTTTTTTTTTATAATCATTCACTTGACTTTCGAATCTTCATTTTTCTGCCCAAAGTAAAATATTTGTTATAACAAAAATGGTTGAGAACATAAACATGTAACATAAAATTTGTGTAAATTTAAAGAGTTATTTTACTGGTTTCTTTCTTTCCAACCGAATCAACTATTTTTGGTTTTATCTTAGATTCAACTTTCCTTTCTCCCTAAGCAAAAAACACAAAATTTTAATCATATGCTCAAGTATACTGATTTTATAACTTTTTTCAGAAAAAAAAAATTAGTAAATTAGATTTTTTCTTTATAAAAAAATGATATGTCAAAGAGCAATATACTAACATTTTTGTTAAGTGATTCTCATGTCTTGAAAATTATACCAGCAAATCGGGTTTTCAACCTAGTAATACAAAGAACATTTCTTGGAGATAATTGAGGCTCCTTAAGTCCTATAACATCAAAAACCATAAAATTTATATGTACTCTGACCTACAACAAATTTCACAGAACTTATATCAAATATGTCATGGAGTAACAATGTTCATAATTGTACAAACTATACTATCCAGTAGATTATATCAAATTACCCGGGCTGTTAAAGCCGACTTACTTCTTGCCAGCTAATTAACATGAATTACAAATTGTCAAGTGGATGATAAATATTTTTATAATTAATAAATGAACGAAGCAAAGGAATAATAACCCGTTTTGAATTTTTAATTTTGCTTCCAATTATAATTTTGTGAGAGGAGCTACTCTTGGAACTCAATTTCAGTGATTAAATTCCGTCATATAAAAAATATGTATAAATCTAAAATATTATAGTGTAAGTACATAAGAATTAAATGGTGTGTATGTAAATCTTTCATTTTTGTGAATGATTCTTTGATTTGGAAAGAAATGCTCAAGGTTTCTAGGAAGACTGAAAACTTCCTTTGTTGGGAGGTTGGTAATTTTAATTTCAGCTTTCGGTATGACGATTGGAAGGGTATTGGTGCTCTTGCTGATCAATATGATGGACCTTTTGATATTGATTTCGCGATTAAGGATTGTTGGGGGTTAATGTTTAGAATGTTGATGACCTGGCTAAAATGGTAAAATCTTCTGATGCTTATATGATTGCTAGGATGCCCATTTCTAGGGCTGATCCGATTGTTATGTCTATTCATTATGAAGTGGGCATTGATTCTAAGTGGGCTTGGAATTCGTGGCTTAAACCTTCACAATCCTTTTGTTTTAGGATTGTTCATAAAATACATCCTACAGATGATATTTTGAAGCTAAAGCGGCTGAGAGGTTCTTCTTGATGTTTACTGTGTAAAAATGAGGAGGAAAATATGGAACATCTCTTATTCATTGCAGGTTTGCTATGGAGGATTGGAAACAAATTGGTTCTTTTCTAAATAGGTTTTTTGAGCATATTTCTATGGAAGTGGCTATTTCAGATTGGAGGGAATATGGAGGTCAATTCCTCTCTATTATTCCTATTGTGACTTTTTGCTTTATCTGGATGATAAGATATGAGATCACACAAAATGAAAAAATAATTAATACATTTGTATCTTTAGTTTGATTAATATTTTCTTATTTAAAATGTTAAAGTTGTTAAATTCAAAAAGCCTATTAATAGAGATATATGTGATCTATTTGGAAAGTTTAATTTGCTTGTCCTTGTTAAGCTTAAATCGAAGATTCATTTGGTGAAATGGAAGAAGTCGGATGAAGGTTTTGTTAAAATTAGTGTTGATGGGAGTTGGCAAAAAGGTAGTGCTAGTAATGGGAGTGCTTGTGGAGATCATATGGGTACTTATTAGGCTTTGTTTGTTTATCCATCTGTTCCGGCTACTCCTCTAGATGCTAGAGTTGATGCCATTATTAAGGCTCTTCTTGTGGCTTGATTTTGTGGTTAGAGATATATTCAACTGGAGATGGATTCTTTGACTATGTGGAGATGTTGTGCTTTAAAAGAGGTTGCCTTGGAATATCATTGTTCATATGCAAAAGATTTTTTGTTTATGTGCTTCCTTGTAGGTCAAATGGTCTAATGTGTATAGAGAAGGTAAAAAATT